GGTGCTGCAGCCGCCGAAGGCCCTAGTTTTAACACCCGCTCAGTTGGACCGCCCACCCAACTAACACACCGCTTCACACCTAACACACGGGGGCGCTCGTTTGTTGTTGTAGGAGCGGCGGACATAAATCCGAACTGCATGTCCATTTTTGCCAACCGGGCTCATGTGTAATTCTGTCCTTCTCCATTATGTTGTCTTCATTTGGAGCACACAGAGTCAACAGCAATCCATCTTGTAAGGTAAGACATGTGTTCAAATCACAAGTGATGCGATTGGTGCAAGCTCAACGCGCATCCCTTACCGTAATCTTAATTTCGCACGCAGTTTTCGAAAGCTAATTTCTGTTACGAGTTTTGCTTCAGTGTTTTTCTTGTATTTCGTTTACATTTCTTTGCACGGCATTTAGTACTGAAATATGCGAAAAATCGATCTGTGAGCAGGGTTGCACGGAGACCACAGGGCGTCGAGTTGCCAGCAAGTCTGGAGAAGCACAATGAGGCTGTGTGACTGTGAGGAAGCGAATTTTTTATGGCGCTCTTAGTGATTCTTTTTGCTTGTTATTATTTGGGGAGCCACTAATCAGCTACTGGTTCATAACTGAACACCCAGTATAATGATAATTGACTGCGGGAAAAAGTCACAATTAGTAACAACACTTCATTAGGTTTCAGACCTTGTAAAGTTTACTTTCCCCCTTTAGAGAGACCTTGTTATCCAAACAGCATTCTGAAAACCACTGAACAAAAAACTAAAACACATTATAGACATTACCAGTGATAAGAGAGCCCCTGACATCTATAAGGGAGTGATTCTCATTCTAACCTACCGCGGTGCGACACACTTCTCGCATACGAATGAGATGTTCGTCATTCCGGTCGCGGATGGATGCGGAAAACATTGCAGATGCTGATCCACTACCATATGCAAAAAACAGTAATCGACTCAAGTCGTCGACAACCCTTAAAAAAGCAATCGCGTTTCATTAAGAAACCAACAAATTATTAACTACCTACCCCGATGCCAGATAAGCCACCAACTGAGCGAACAGCGACGGTGTGTACATGTTACCAATTCGTCGGTTTAACACAAGAAAGGGATTCACTTTTTGATTCCATAATGATTCGGAACCACACAGAAGACAATTCATCACTTCGCGGTTTTCAAACGACGACTGAGATAACACGCTAAATCGAAGATATAAACGAGCCACCCACGACGCTATCAATGAAGCTTTATCCATTAATGAAAACTGTTCAACAGAAACAGTAAGGCTGCATTCACACAGTCTATTTCGAAGCAAACGAATGGCGTGTCAGGCGGGATGAGTTTGGCGCGGTGCCAGACCCGTTCTCCACCAGCTGTTGAAGCGAGCAAATGGCAAAAATGTACCATATCGTTCGTATAACTCTTTTTTCACCAATTGCTGTCGCAAAACCACTTCAAGAACTGGCAGAGAAAGGGTTTGGCGCCATGGCGCATACTCCTCATACTGCCTGACACGCCCCCTCACCCGCAGCGAACTAGTGTATATAGGACGACTTTGAAGAAATGATGGGGTCGCGGAGCTGATAAATGCAGAATGTGCAGAAAAAAAAGAAAGCATAAGTATCGATGCGAAGAATGCCGAAACTGCAGATGGTAGAAAGTATATGTATAGATTTGAAGAAACGCAGCATCGGCAGAAATACAGAAATGCGGAATCTGCAGAAACGATGAAATTCCGCAGAATCGGGTATTTCCCCCAGGGACGAAGCTGAGGCTAATGCCGTTTGAACTCCAGAAATTTCGGCTGCGAGCTCATTTTAAAAGTGGCAAGATCACCAAATCCGCTAAAAACTTGTATATAGGGGTAATTCAACATCCTGATCACGAATATGACATTCATTTTTGGCGCTGGCGCTAATGGATGACACTACGGTTACCTGCGCTCTGCTAAGGCTGAGCCCAGGAGGTAATCGTAGTGTCCTCTCTTGGCGCCAGCGCCAAGAATGAGTGTCATACTCGTAATCAGGATGTTGAATTACCCCTATATACAAGTTTTTAGTGGATTTGGTGACTTAGGCAATTTGAAAATGAGCTCGCAGCCGAAATTTCTGGAGACCAAACGGCATTAGCCCGAGGCTGAGCGATCACTCTCATCAAGTCTTTGCCTGTCACTTCGGCATTTTTGCATTTCTCCCAATTCTGCGATTCTTCAGTCGATACGTATATTCTCTTCTATCTGCAGTTCCGTCATTTCTTCGAACTGACACCTACGTTTTCTTCTTTTTTCTGCATATTCTGCATTCCTGCCATTTTCCATTCTTCGATTCGATGAGTATTCTTTTTTTTAATCGCAGTTCGCCATTTCTTCAAAGCCGTCATGTATGAACGCGGCCCAAAGAAAGAACTCTGAAAGAAGACACTAATTTGGATAGGCAGCGTTCAGACTTGTAGCGCTACGATCGTCGCGCTACAGCTATCGGCCTAACGACGTCGGGCGCTAGCATCTGTCGCGCTACATCTGTATCCAGCTTCCTTTTATATTTTTTTGGTCTTCGATGAAGTTTACCCAGTTTTTCTTTAGTTTGCTCATATTACTGATTCTGATGCTGGAGCGTACGTCACTGTGATGTCTCGTTATTTTAAGTCGCCATACATATTTTTGAGTACAGTCTTTATCTACGTGTCCTTGATACGAGCGAAAGAGAACGATGAGTGGTAAGCGATTACGTTATTATAATTCCTCTCGTTATGCGCTCGAAATCTATTTATGTGTGTGAGTTTTAGTTACGGTTCCGCTGGAACTGATATAGTATATGAGGTTTCTTTATGTCTTCGCAATGTCTGGTGCAATTGGGTACCATCGCCTCGTGAAGTGTTGTGTGAGGCCGCCGCCAGTCGGCCATGACAGCCTTGCTTGGCGCATCGAGTGTGGTTTGTCGTCTTAGAGCTGTCCCCCGGACTTGATTAGGGGATAATTTGTTACTTCCGAATTGAGGCCTGGTATATATTAGCTGAGCTGGTATCGATGATGTGTAAAGTGAAATGCGGTAGAAGCTAGAAAGAAGATCCAGTATACAGAGATACGATAGTGCGGGCGTAAAGTAGAGGAGTTGAATTCATGAGACAAATAAGATGTCATTAATGAAGAGGCATACCTGGAGATAACGCTGTATGCGCGACGTGCGCGGGCGGGGCTGTAGCGCGACGGCTGTACGCGACAGCTGTAGCGCGACGAATCGTAGCGTTAGCAGCTGCAGCCGGCTACCATCTGAACGCCTGCCATTCAGTGGTAATACTACGAGTACCCAAGTTTCGAGTAGAGCTGCCCGTATGGCGCCTGCTTTTCCATTTCATAGTCTCCTATACAGAATTGTGATTAGCAATCATTTACTCATCTATGAAATACAATGTCAAGAGATGTAACCTGTAAGAAAGTCGCGCTACTGCCTTCTGCACCATGCGCGTAAATGGTGAATGAAACATTGCCGCTGAGAATGACGAGAGAGAAACATCTAAACACATTAATCAAAAGGAGTGAAAACATATTACACAGAATATCCGGCATTGTGTAATCTACCACTGGTTACTGATTACTGGCGCGAGGCTTGCGCCCCAGCCAGTACAGACGGCAAGTCGTCAACTTAAACATGTTGGAACAGATCTCGACGTAGAAGTAAAACACTGAAGTGCAGTAAGATCTCAGCAATATGTGTTTACCTGTACTAGAATTAGGTATGAAAAAATAAACACGTGTCAGTGCAGGCGCCTGTTCCGATGATATACCGCACGTATGAGGGGGAGGGGCATCTGTTTTCGCTAGTTCCTTTTCGCTAGTAAAGGCTGTTGAGACGTATATAGTCGCTATTGTGGTGATACCTGGAAACTTTTACGGTGTGAGAGAGTAGGCATTGGACTTCGCAAGGGAACTTACATGTCTCAATAAGATCATGATCACATTGAGACCTGTAAGTTCCGGGAGTCAAGTCACGCCCTCCATCTATGGTTTGGAAGTTTTCTTCTTGGTAAAATGAAAACCGTTATAAAACGGATCAGCAGCTGCGCAGTGGTAAGCTGGCTGTTCACCATGTACCCTTCCGGACCGTTTTTCGAAATTTTTCAAAATCTCTGCTTGGCCAGAAATTTGTCAGCAGGTGCAATTTGACTATCGGAACACGAACTTTGGACTTGTTTTGTATTATAATCAGGAGTTTCCACGCAACTGACAATCACCAGCCATGTTTTCAACGAAATTCCGCCTTGACTGCACAGAAAACACTGTGGAAACCGGAAACTGTTCTTGTTTTCGTATCTGCACTTAACATTTCATGCTCGATCCGCATGCTTTTGTCTCCGTAAGAAGTTCTATGGTGATTTAAAGACCTGTCTTTGACAGAACCAGCCATTGCTCGTTGAAGAGCATATTTTATTTACAAGCAGGGAACGGAAAAGTGATTCAGAACTTTTGTTGCTTCTAAAATTGATCGACTGTGACGTTGCTCCCTTCCCTTACTGGGCATAGAGGGAGGACTACTTTTACACAGCTTCCGTCTGGACGCACGTGCGAAAAGGAAGCTGAGCTACCTCTCTACTTTCGACCCCTTCCCTTTTTCATTGGCCTGACTTTTCAACAAAGTCAACTATTTTTCATTTTCAATGAATTTTCCTTATGCATTCTCAAGCGTTCAAGGGGAAGAAAACGCTCATTCGGTTTCAGTGAGGTATTACCACGAATAATAGATTGATTGCGTGCATAAGCACCAAAAATGGGCGAAAAGGGGACCGTTATTTTCGCTCGATTTACCCTCACAATCAGTGAAGTAGAATTCCTACATCTCCCAAAGCGGGAAGAGTAGAAAAACCCGGTCAAACATTTCACACACTATCGAAGTTAGGTGGCATGGGGAAAGGAGGTACATGGAAGACCCTAGGTAAATTACGCCACGAATGTTCCTCTTTGTACGGGAACAAATTCTTCGCTGTCGGAAAAACGGAAGCGGTCCGTCATCGCCGTTAGGTTCTTCGAAGTTTCCAAAGTGCTTCGAGTTTATGTTTTTTGTATGATAATTTTTGTGTGATAACTGCTGCTTAACGCCGCAGTTCGCGCTCTGAAAGTTATCACAAGAATGCTGATATGCGCGACCCAGATGGGATCGAGCACGCATCTCAGGCTTAACGGGCCTGTAGGGGGTTGTGTTTCCGTTAAGTTATCGAGGCCACTCTTACTCTACCAACTCAATGGCATTTTGTGCCATGCCCTTACATGACATCAACGACAAAATGCCATCAAGCTGACACAGCAAGAGTGGCCGCGGCAGCGGAATCAGTAACACCAGCCGGCTTCGCCGGCTGACTCCGGCGCGCCTCCTAGGATACTGCGCGGCTCCGCCGCTTACCTTCTTCCACACATTTCATTAGCCGCCTAGTATCAGGCTCTTCTTTTACCCGAACAGGTGGTCAACATTCTTTGACCAATAGCATCATACCTGCTCCTTTCAACACTATTACGGTGTATGGAGTGGTGGTAAGGAGCGTTGATCAAGTGGACAGATGAGAGAAAAGCCGGGTATTAGTCGAGCATTTGATCGTACGAATGTAGGTAGGCGCGATGGAGCCACGCCCCGCAAAGCCGGGCCGTATCACATAGAGGTCCGAAGTGCCTGGAGTGCTCTGGAACCGCTTGAAGAATTTTTGAGGCTGGCCCCGCTCACCTTGACGCACGCTCCACAACAGGTATGCTTACACTTGTGAACCGGTTACCCCTCGATGACCTTAAACCACTTTTTCCCGGTGTCTGGAGTGCTCTGGAACCGTGTTGTGAATTTTTAAAATTTCTCCACCCACTTCAGGGTACGCCCCACCTACAACGTATGCCTCGCGCTTCTCAACAAATAACCCTCGCTGATCTCAAACTACTTTTTCCCGGTGTCTGGAGTGCTCTGGAACCGTTTTGCGAATTTTTTAAATTTGGCTCCACCCACCTCGGGGCACGCCCCGCCCACAACGTATGCCTCGCGCTTCTCAACTAATAACCCCTCGCTGATCTTAAACTACTTTTCCCGGTGTCTGGAGTGCTCTGGAACCGTTTTGCGAATTTTTTAAATTTGGCTCCACCCACCTCGGTGCAGGCTCCGCCCACAACGGGAGTGCCTCGCACATCCTTACATTTGATCACTTGGGGACCATAATCCACATTTTGGCACCTTCTGCAGTGCTTTAGGACCAAACTACGACTTTTTATACTGTTCCTCGTGCTCAAATGCACGCCCCGCCCACTGTAGGCGGGCCTCAGCACGCCGTAAACATGGTGGACTCTTGCCAGACGTTAATCTTCGTCATGGACTTTTCTGCGATCCCTAAACATTTTCGGGGACCGAGTTACCGACCTTTGTGGGAAGCGCCGCCCATCTCAAGTACGCCCGCCCATTTCGGGTGTCTCCTCCTCCATTTGGCGTGCCAACCCAGTGCTAACCTAATTCCACTTTTTCCAGTCTCCGAACTGCTTTGTAGCCAAGTTATGGGGATTTTTCAGTGACACGGGAAGCGCCGCCCATCTCAAGTACGCCCCGCCCATTTCAAGTGTATCTCCTCTGTTTGGTCGGTCAGGCCTTTGTTAACTTTACTGCACTGTTTCCTCATCTCGGGACTGCTCTGGAACCGAGTTATGACTTTTTTCAGTGACATCGCTAAATTTGGACGCACGCCCCGCCCACTGTGGGCGGGCTTACCATGGGTCATGGTGCTATTTAGGTTTTGTCCCATGCTCTATCCATCCCCACCCTGACCCGACCCCGCCAAGCTCTTCTTCAGGTGCTATGAATTTCGTGACAGACAGACAGACAGACAGACAGACAGACAGACAGACAGACAGACAGACAGACAGACAGATACACACACGCACCCGGACATAGCCGATAATATTAGTAGGATAACCGCACGCAAGCGGAGAGGGAGCACCGCCGTTTGGAGTCTGACTTTTGCTCCTATCCTAGCATTCATGTGAAAAAGTTCTTTGAAAGTGTCACTTACAAACTGTTTTCTCCAGGCGTTCCGAATTCTTCAGTAAGTAGAGCAACTACCCTTGCAGGAGAGAAGGACATGGTTAATGAATACAAATCGATAACGCAGCAGTGATTCGACTTGGTTTGCCACGTCAGACATTTGATCTACATGATCTGTTTCGCCACCTTCTCGAAGAAGTATCGAAATATGAAACAAGAGGTTCCATTGGAGAAAGAGCAAAAACTTTGTCGTTCGTGGGGAGCAAACCCGGATGCTGCCGCCTAGAGAGCGAGACACTTACCACTAGGCCACGGCGCCTCTTGCGCGCCTTATGTGACAATATCGCCCCTTCAAGCAAGTTTCGACCACCCGGAAATCGTCGGGGAGGTCTCCGTAGCACTTTTAATCTTCATATTCGTAATCAGCATTCGAGACTCTATCAATGTACCTAGGTCTCGATTCAAAGTTCCATGGGAAGTTGAAACCATTCCCTTGTTAGATAGCGGAAGAAGCCAACCATCCAGCACTTCGAACCGTAGTCATAGGGATTGAGGACAGGGCACGAGATGAGTGTTCACATACATTACCCCATCACTCTGTGCAAGAAGTTCCAATATTATGCTACATGAAGAGAGTGTCTTTTTCTTTCCCCTCCCCCTCCTCATGTACAGGGGGGGGGGCAAAAAAAAAGTCATTCCGGCCGAGTCACATATGAGCGAAGTTTTCGCAGCCCAGACAGAGGAAGTGGATATGAGTACCAGGGCGGAAGATACCCAAGATCTTCCTCTATAAGCAGGAGCCGCTGCATTCACCTTCATGTACACCAAAATATGAAGTCATCTCCAGTCGCGGCCTGAGTGGAGAACGCCTTTGGAATTCACGTGGCCTCCAAACAGCTGCGGAACTTCTTGAATGGAATCACCCATGGATAGCTACCTGGAGACCAGTACTCTTGATCTGCAAGACCTCAAACATCGAGCAACGTCGCTACGGTCCAGGACATCATCTTCACCCCATTCACCAAGGCGCGGGTTGATGGTGTGGACCGGCCGTACCTGGAATGGATGAACCGATATTTTCTTCGTGGGCCCCAGACTGAGGGTGTGCGCTGGTGGCTACATCGAGCAACTCGAGGAGAATATCCCATCTTCATGTCGTCGCCCGTACCTTCTTGGAAACTTTGTACTGCTACAGGATTGGGTGACAACACATTTAATCGAAGGGCGTTGGAAAAACTTTCGCCTACTTGGAATGGAAGAACGTTGAGTACCTGGAAAAGATGGAGTATAAGCGGGACTTCGTAGCCGCCGTGGAAAGTCACGGAGGCAAAATGACTTTTTTTTGCACCCCCTCCCCCCCTGCCTGCATAGTGTTTGTGCACGCCTTTGCCTTATCGCCTACTCATTATTGTTTGATATTATCAAAGAAAATATTTTTGTTATAAATATGCAATCAATGCTCCTAATCTGAATCATGGCTCCTTCTCCCTAAACGATTGCTACATCCTCCCTGAGGTTAAACTGAAGTGTTTCTATTGCAGGGATATCAGCTGCATTGAGATTTATCGAAAAAGGGTGACAACACCCATGAAAAAAAATTCAACCAACCTTCTCCGTATATATTCAACGCTTTCTGCCTAAAGCGAACATAACAGTTATCCAGAGCATTCATATAAGACTGCAGGCTTACAGGACCATCGACAATAGGATATTCGGTGGAAGTCCTACCTAAACACAACATTCGAACCAACTGGAGACAAACGAGCTAAACGATTTGCAGAATGAACCGATCGGTTTATAGAAATCCCAAGAGCTCGCCATGTATGAAGCTCGAAGCCCACGGTCGAATACAATGGGGGCATCTGGGGTGATCAGTACTGCAATAGCTCCTGCTCCTAAACAAACGCAAATGATCAGTGAATATAAAGCACCTAGCATCTGGAAGCAGTTAACACCAGATTAGCAGTAAAACATTGTCTGCAATGGGGGACAGTGCCTATAATTCACTTTTTCACATTTCACTTTCAGGTCAGGGTGACGCACTGAATATTCGTAACACTGAAACAGAACAAGCTGGAACTATCGATACTATCCCACGCTGATGTAAGCAACTTGTTCTCAGACGAATAAATCACTGACACCTTTGTGACTTGAAGTAGAAAACAGCGCGTTAGTTACCACAAGAAAATGAAAATATGAGAAAAGTGTTGATGGTGTGGAATAGTTTCCTTTCAGCAGTTCAGGTGAAAGGCACTCAACTTTGCGGCAACGCTTTGAGCGCTTTCAACGACTAGGAAAGCATAGGTATCGATTATAGCCGAAAACGTGGTGGATATCGTGAGTGTACCAAGTTCAAACTATCTGAGTGCAACGACAATCAGTTTAAAGGCAGCGCCCGCGTTCATTTGTTGTTTTCACGCCCTCTTTGTATATCGTAGCTCACCCTATGGATGGTGGACGTACTAGTTTCGCCACTCAAAAATGCGAGAGAATAGCGGCGCCCGCTCGTGAAGAGTCGGCCACCCCGCCCCCACCTGGCGACCACTACGCCCAACTTCATTTCTAATGGTTGCCTGATGGTGCGGTTGTTCCATTGCTGCTTCTCTCCACGTCGAATGGTGAGAGTGAGGTGATAAGGGAAAACAGCTGCCTTGAGCACGTACAATCTCATCTCGGCGTGGGGTCCTATATAAGGCATATCCGATGATTTTTTGCATTTTTCTTCACTAATGAACTACTTGCTACCTTGTTGTCATTGTCTGAGCTTCTAACCGATCAAATTGAACGCAGACGCTGCCTTTAAGGTGCCTCAATTTCGTAAGTGGTTTGCTATCGAGCGACGATGCTTTCACATGACTCAAGCTGCTCGACAAAATCGAGGCCAGTTCAGAGCGCACAGTTCAGTCGCCTCTCACAGAAGAATGCAAACGGCTTACAAATCTCAGGCAGGATACAAGGATGGTCGAGGATGGATCGTCAAGGTGCATGCGGTCATACCTGGACCGAAAGGACGAGCACATCCCCGCTTCAATCGACTAGACGCCCCCAGGCGGTCCGCGACAAAAACGACAACCGTTCCTCACTCCCCTCGAAGCCGCCTCCATCTCCATGCTGGCTATGCGGAGCAATGCACTTCGTCAGAAACTGTTCATATCGACGACATAAATGCTCTGAATGCCACAAAATCGGTCACAAAGAAGGGTTCTGCGATACCAGACGACGACCAAACCGCCGTCTAGTCATACGAAACCGCGACACAACAGTTCAAACGACTCCAAGGACTATGAACTGCTCTCTCGCTGCTCAAGCAAGACTCCACAAAGAAGGCAATCACAACACTGTGGAACTAAAGTTCAACAAGAATCACGGCGCCCAGAGACGTTCTTTCAGCCAAGGGGATCCCGTGTACGCATGACAATACAGCAGAAACCAGTGTTGTGGTAGACCGCTCTATGCTTATGAGGTCACTGTCCTAAGTGATAATATGAGCGGTTGTTTACATCCATAGTGTTATGCAGTGATAGGTCTTCTTGGGTCTATAAAAGACCCTCTGTGCGGTGTGTTGTCAATTGTCGTCTCGTGCTCTAATAAAGCACTCTCGCCTGGAGTCGTAACAACCAGTCGGAATGGCTTGCTGGAAAAGTGTTTCAAAGACGAGGGACGAGAACTCTGTTTGGTCCTACTTGGAGACAAAATCTGTGGTCGACATGCCAACCACCTCCGTTTCCGACATCACGATGTACCACCATCCAAAAACGACAAGGATGTAGTAACTGTTCGAGATGTTCGACTTGCACCCGTCAACTTCAGTGCGATCAATAGCCGTCATGCCAACAACGACGAACAAGGATGACCAGTCCCGAAGATTGATGCGCACGCGACGCCCTTCTTCACGGATTCAGGTGGGGTCCCACAAGAGGAACTACCACTGATATCAGCTTATCACTTCCCTTTACATGTTCTCAAAAAGGGAGGTGTTAGATATCGAACCGGTCTAGGACCTACTGCGAATATAACTTTTGTTTACAGTAACAACCACCATTAGTGATCTCGAGTAAATATATAGACGGGTCATTCCGAGCGCTGTAGCTCAGTTCAGTTCAGTTTCCTAATAAACATCTCTGCCTATTCTACTGCCATTTGCACACACTCCGCGCGACACAACAGTGCTCAAATCCTGATATGCTCTGAATGAACGAAAGGTTCACAAACCATGATGTGCTATTGTCTCGCCCACGCCTTTTTTTGAGAAGTGGGACGATTTTCAAACGGTGGAAGTCCAAACCTTCTTAGAGGCAGATCCGAGCTTAGCCAAGCCGTAGGCTTTTCTTCCTTGCACAAAAAGTCTCTAAGAGTGTCCCTTTTACGCGGCTTCAAAGTAGTCAAAGTAAGTACAGAAGGCGCTGTGGACTTCACAAGTGGAGGTTTTGACGCCTTCCCAGTAGTCCTGCCCCCCGGAAGTCGAAGGCTATAGCGTCACAGGTCCAGTTTTCACGCTGTGCTTTTCGTTTCTTTTTACTTTTTGATGGTATTAGATATGACGCGAAAAACGGCTACTGAAACTGAGGCGACAGGATATTTCTTTTATGGCATGAAGCGAGCAGGTCTGGAGAATTCGTGCACAGAGGGCCGCCAGGGTGTTCTCCATGATTTTTCCTGTTTTTTCAATTCCCTAGGTTACTTGGCTACGTATTTCTAATTAAACGCCACTACCCACAAAATGCGATCGCGCGTTTGTCTTAATATACTGGAACTTAAATACAAAACTGGAACTGAACTTTGGATGATTTACAAGTGTTTGGAGAAATATGAGGTGAAGAAAATCATTTATACTTCTGCGCCTTATGTTGCGTAAATTCTACGTTCGGATGAAGAACGGAAACAGTCCAGAGTAGGCTACAGTTGAGAACGCACTGCAAAACGGTACATTTTCTCTTTACTGGGATCATTCGTGCCAAAAACAAATTATTTCTATTTCTATAAATAACAAATAGATAATAAATAGAAATAGAATAGAAAAAATAAATAATAAATAGAAATAGAAATCAAATGATCACTGTTTGGCTACACTAACGAATCTCTGTTCATCGATCTTCTAAAGTTCCACGACACCCACCCGTCATTCTCCCCTCGCTTGACAACGCCCGCTGCGAGACGTTCATTTTCAATGCAAATGCACTCGATTGTCTGCTATTCGCACATTAATTCGGCTAGCTGTCAATACAGTTATTTCTCCAACAGTGAGAGGCAAAAAGCTGTGATAAAGGGGGTGATAAGTCACAAATGTCAGTCATAATAGTGGCACTTGAACAGTAGCACGTTTAATTTCATTGCCAGTTTGTCAACAGTAAAGCTTTATTGAGTGAATTTTCTGGAGGAGGTCTTTTTTGAAGTAGCTTACCGTTCCTTCCTGATGACCGCCATTGAGCTGGTTCAACAACGTTTCATATTAGGTTGTTGCATAAGTTTTTCCCCCTGTTTTGATCCTTCCGTATTTCGTTTGCATGGAGGTTGGTATTTCGTCATCACGTGTGCGTGACGTGTACATGATACTCTTTCACCACACTAGCTATCACTCACCCACCCTGCATTTGCAGGCTACAATGCCGCACAATTACCAGTGCAAAACCATGTCACAGTGATTGTGCGGCATTGTGGCCTTCTTCGGGTCCCAGCCCCCGTCCTTCTGGGACGATGGAATCGACAAGCTGCCTGAGCGTTGGCGTCGAGTAGTGGATGGTGATGGTGCATACCTCTAATCTTCAGGCTGGTTCGCTATTGAGATATTTACAAAAAAGTCGGGGAAAAGAACTTATGCAAGAACCTAATAGAAACCTGCAGGCCATAGTGTCTCATTGCAAAGTTGCTCCCACGAGACAAACTCAAGTGTTCACCCGGCACACTCACACTCTTTGTACATTAGCAACACAAATGGGAAAAAGAGAAAGTTGGATAAGCGGCCGCTTGAGCTTTTCTTCTTGCGTAGCCCTGTCGCGAAAAACAGGACAGTACCGGCACATAAAAAGGCAGCAGTGGCTAGAGTGGGGAAGGTTCAGAAAATTAAGACAGACACGACGCACACTGGACCATAACCGATGCGGTTCAGCGGACATCAATTCAGACAGACCGCAAATCGTGATAATTCTACTAGGAATCTGGACTTGACCCATTCGAAATGGGTAATTTGAGATAATAAAACTTCAATGGGAAATATTCAATTCGCTGTCCTTCCAAACAATTTGACATTCCTCCACGCAACTCAACGGAAGGCAGTGAAAAGACAAGGCAAAAACAATGTGCGATTCAGTGTTACCTCCCGTAGACCTCGCAGGACCTGGCTCGTATACAGCTATGTCGGCAAGAACAGCAATGGCGTTCCGCTTTTCCGTTGAATAGTTTGCGTATACCCAATCAATTGCGTGGAATACAGCTTGAGTTCCACCAAAACACGCGTTTTTCACGTCAACACCCTAAATGACGAATTCAGATTCAGAAAACTTTTTCATGCAGATACAGAATGGTGAAAAGGAAATCACGGCGCTAATTGAATGAAGACCGTGAATTCATGTTCGTTCCCATCAATGTGTCTAGCCATTTTGTAAAGACCTGGGGCTTCAATACTTGGACATTTTTTGAGCTTTTTAGATGTAAGAGGTCATGCGGGCTTGCTGAAAGACTCTAAGAACAAGCTAAGGGATGAAAGCTTTTGCTTGGGCCTGGGGGGTATTCGAGAACACAAAAGCAAGTCCATTTTCAAGAAGTGGTACTTGTCTTCCACAGAGTGGTTTTCCCGCGTTGTTGTTTGTAGCCTTCAGTCTTTTTTTTGACTATTTAGCTTGCCAACAGATATTCCTGCTTCGAGAAAAACAAACTTGTTGCCATTCAACGGGTTTCTGATCGAACAGCTGGTGGCACAGAGCGGCGAGGAAGGGGGGCGACATCTTGCACTTTCGCTTCCTTACTACTTCCGGTTTACAAGTCTCGGTCCGGTTGAACCTGTGAACTCTTGTGAGCGCTATGATAGAACCTGCCAACTCTTGTAAGCTCACGAAATGGCTCGACACGTCGATGGGAAGTAGCAGGAGTGAGAAATACCCTCCCCCTCCCCCTCCCGCCGACGAACTGCCCCAACTGGCCCATAATACCAACAAGCTTACCGAACTCGTTTGCCTTACGCATAGAGGAAATGTCCCACTTGCAGGAAGTGTCCAGGTCTTTGTAAATGTTGACGGTATTTTTACACGGGCTTACGAGGTGCCCTCCAAGTGGACTAATGCAGCTCTAATAAGTCTGCGGGATTTCTCAACCCATGTTACGGGTATTCGCTTCAGCACAAATGATACGTAAACACTGGACCCTTACTCGCTGAGAGCGAAAAAAACCTGACCTCAATATCGCTGTTGTCTCCAAATAATCTCATCAGCTCTGTTTTTACGCTTTTACTTTTGTCAATGAGAGTTTCTGTGCCAACAGCAAGAAATCCAATCGATGACGGTTCAATCTAAAACAACTGGAAGTACTCGCGAAGAAGAGTTTCTCATGGCTTCGAGCAAATGTGGAATAGTAATATCAATCCATAAGGGGAATCGTCCCTTCCCACTCACATAATATTTTCGCAATAGTGCATCTGTGACAGTGAGCGAGATGGACACGACGTCCTCATTGTCTGCACAAAATCCCATCTGATCCTGTCCAAGCCCAACAGTGTACTTTCCTTTGGAACAATTGTCAAACGAAAGCCATCGATACAGAAATCCTCAGGTTATTTGTTATTCAAACTTACCTTCTCAAGATCAGTTTGATTAACAACGTTCTTAGGGAAGTATATTTCAATAGCGCTAATCCCAACATCCTGTATAGGATGCACACCCGGCGACATGCTCGAATCACGAAGGAGTTATAACTGCAGAAAGCTGTATAAGTTTAAGACTACAGAGTACACAACCTTCAAAGAAAAACGTGAAAGTGCCGTCGAAGATTCGCTGATACCCCAGCCTTCGACATGACGGAAACTTAAATTGATTGTGTGTATTTGCGGCCCAGACTTCCGAGTTACAGTAAACCCCAACGAAAAATGAAAGTGCAAGGGATGTTCAGGAACGTCTGGGGTTAAAATTTGAAGTGACACCTTCCCCCAACCGATTTCCTCTTTCAGAACGATTCCTTTTTCATCCTTCATGCTCTTGCTGAGTTCCTGACGAATTCTCACGAAAACGTTGCCGCCAAGTGCGCATGGAAATGAACAGTCGAAAAAAATTTTTCCAGGTCAAAAGCGATCCCCTCCCTTAAATCGACCAGATGCAACGCCCGTTCATTTCTCAGCTTACGTCGCGTCCTGAAAACAGACTAACTTCAGATTCTAATGGGATTTTTGATGTATAAGCTGCTGCGACAAGGCATTCCTGTAGATGTCATGACGAACAAAAAAATAGTCATTGACTCATGACGAACAAAAAAAGTAGTCATTGACTACAAGCAAGAAAAACTTTAAGAGTGGACGAGAGTGTGTTCAAACGGTCGAGTGAAAGGAGGATGACATGTGGTGAGCCCACGTCGTTTTTGGATCCATCAGCTCATAATAAGGCGTGACAATATGAAGATTACTGATTTTAGGCCACGCTCCACAACCGGCGAGACTAATTTGTCGTGTTCTTTTCTCAGAATTGCTGTTTGACACCGCAGTTGGAACCCATAAAGTTATCTGCTTCATGGGATGGAATGCTGCTTCATGGGGAAATAGCTTGACCTCAGGCGGGACTCGAACCCACACTCTACGTCGGAAGGGAAGCGCGTTTCACATCTTTCTTTCCCCCACTTTATTCTCCTTTTTTTCCTTCCCTTTGTCCCCTTTTTCGGTGTATTCCATTTAACATCATTCAACTTCAGCGAAACTGCGGTCTAAAAAACCAAAACGGCATATTTTTGACCGCTATTATACTTCTTCGTAGCAACAGGTCTTTAACTTTCGATATAGGTGGCTCGAAGTTAGACCTTTTCCAGCGCTGCAATTGAAGCTGATAGATACTACACGTGTGACGCACCTACTTATCCACGCACAACTTCCCCTCTTATCGACAGGAACATTGCTTCGATTCCGGCCAAGAATTATAGAAGCGATATTCAGTTTCTTGTGTGAGTGCCAACCGCCATAGTTGTTAGATGAATTATCTCTCACAGCTGGGTCACCTGGCTGCCGCCGGGCGCTCCTCCTTCTATCCACGGCCCGGCTTCGCCGGGCCGGCCCGGCTTCGCCAGGCACTCTTTCCTTGGGCGAGGTAGAGTGTGCAAAATGTGCCAAACCATGTGACCCGCGTGATGGACTCAGTCAGTGACCTTACCCTTCTAACACCCCTTATCGAATCTTATCAGCAGCTGACAGTTCTTGTCATCCACCAATAATGTTCCTGTCCCATACCCTACATCATATGTTGGAATCAACAGCTGGCTGATGCCTCTTATCGGATCTTATCAACTGATATCACTTCCTGTCACCCACCAATAGTGTTCCCGTCACACCCCTACATCACTTCTTGGAACCAATGTCTCACTGCTACTGGGACCGGCGCTATGAATTTCGTGACAAACAGACAGACAGACACACAGACAGACACACACATACGCACGGACATAGCCGATTATATAGGGTAGGATCATTACCGTGTAATTCGCTGCGGATGGTTGGACGTGTCAGGCGGGATGAGTTTGGCGCGGTGCCAAACCCGTTCTCCAGCAGTTGTTAAAGCGAGCAA